CAATACACATACAAAACAATCAAAGCTAATCGCTCAGACATTGTTATTAAAGACTGCAAAAAAAAAGAAAGATTCTCCTTATTGATATGGCAGTCCCTGCGGACTGCAATGTATCTTTGAAAATATTCAAAAAACTGTCAAAATACAAGGACCTTGAAATTGAAATCACAAGAATGTGGCACATGGGATCATCAACAATCCCTGTTGTAGTTGGAGCCCCCCTAGGATTTGTTGGAAAAAATTCGAGTAGACTAATTGATAGGATTCCTTAAAGCCCATGCCTTAAAGAAATACAGAAAATGGTTTTCACGAGTGCAGCCCACAACTTATGAAGGGTTTTATCTATGTAAATAAGTTTCGTTTTTCGTTTTTTTTTTGTCAGTGGAAAATATCATGATGCCATTTCTAACCTTAGGTCTCTGGGCGGGACCCGGAATGAAATGTATACACACCAGAAATCAAAGGAAATAATAATAATAATAATAATAATAATAATAATAATGTTGCTACTGCTACCAATAATAACAATATTAATATTAATAATAACAATAATGTGTAGAATAAAATAATGTTTAAAGGACAGACACTTTTCTTGAAGCCAATATTTTATTACCTATATTTATAAAAAATTTAAACAATATATTTTGGTTTTTATATTTTTCACCGTTTGTAAATTTTTCTTTCTCATGAATATTATTTAAATAAACGATTCTTGCTTTATATTCAGCCAAAAAATATTCTCCATTTTATTTTTTTGACATTTTCTTTATTCACTTAACAGACATGGCTGCAAAATGGCTGCAAGCAAAACTTGCATTATTGAAATTCCACTTGAAGGAAAATCAGAAATTCAAAATATGACCGAAAGAAGCAACCAACTTCAAATTCTTTCTATTATTACTTTCATTTCTGTCTTCATGCACTTTACGTTAAAAATAATTTTTATTTACACCAATATGCTTACACTGTCAATACACACTGAAATCTAAATGCAGATATGAATAAATAGAGCGTGGTGGCAATGAAGGAAGCTGTACATTAAGAACATACCATTTATTATATGTTTCGTCCCCGTTTCAGGACATTTTCGGTCATATCCTTTTGTTGTGGTATCCTCTCTCTAAAGAATCTATGTTGAACTCTTCCGCCTACTATAGGATTAGTAGGAGAGAAGGCCTTGGGAAAACAGTCGACCAGATTGTTCATCTGTCGAACTTCCTGCCACGACAGAGAGGAACCCGGACAAGGCTTTGGCGAAGGGCAAAGTTTTGTCCGAGGAGGTAGACAGGCCCTGAGCCCGTTTATGCGGATTTTAATGGAATATTTTTGGACGAGCCTACGAGCTCGGATAACCCACGGTAAAATCGGCTTTGTACCGTATTGGTGGGGAGGGTGTTAAATATTAACAGTCGAATAGATTGAACGCTGGGTCAACCGACACACATTCACTAGTCGTGTAATACTCTAACTGTTAGTATATGAGATATCTGCAACACTAGTTTTGTTATTTCTTAACAATTTAATTGGTCGCAACACCTTTCTAGCTCTCAGTAAATTTTGGTTGGTTTTTTGTTTTACAGCATATCGACCTCAATGGGTTATTTAATGCCGACAAAATTTTTATTGCTGGTAATGTTTTTGCTTCAAAAATCTATTTCTGGGAATATTCTTCCTTGAAGAAATCTATAGCTGGTCATATTTTTGCAAAGAATGTGTAGCTGTTTGTAATACTGGTATTTTTTTTTAAATATTGATGATAATAATAATTTTTCCTCCAAAAATTATTGCTGGTAATATTTTGTTTATTATAAAGTATTTCTGGTATTAAAACTTATTTTAGACAAGTTTGGATATGTTGTGGTACGATCCACCTAATTTACATAGTGGGGTGCCGACTATATAAATATGGTTGGTACCGGGAAGAAGGCAGAAGAGATCCAATCCAGAGACTCTGCCCGACTGCGACTAAGTCAACCCATTCTACAGGAACGGTCTTCCCAAGAATATACCAAAACTTTCTGCAAATATTGTGTACCCTTTCTTGTGTCAATACATTTTGTTTAAGTACATTTTGTGTTGTATTATTATTATTCCATGCTTTATTCAAGTTTCAACAGGATATTAACTATTTCGCATGGCTGTGACCTCAACAGTGTGGACCTGGGAACACCAGCAATTAAGATGTGGTTCCACGCTTCTCAAAACCTCATTGACGCCTTGCTGTTGGAAGTAGTTTATCATCTTACCCAGGACGCGGATGTAGTTTATCGTCATACCCACGAATACGGACGGAATAAATTTTGGCTGTTATTATCTCTTCTCTGGTGACACTGCCGTTTATATCGAGGTCCCCCCCAAAATTATAAGAAGCTTCTGCAATGTAGTCTCTTTCTCACCTGTAACTTTCTGACAGGTGTGTTGTGATTTCCTTCTCTCTTTTCTACAAATATTTTTGTGGTGAATGTACTGACGAGCTTTTTTCCCTGGTTCTACGACTGCATGAATTTAAGCGTGCTACTACCTTGGCATCTAGGTTTCACCCTTTTACCGTTGAAACAGTTAAATTTAAACGACACTTCTACTCCAACAGCTTCTTTTCTTGCACTTCCCGGCATTGAAACTTCCTACCTCTTACTTACTTCCCTGATAACTTCAATCTTGAAAAATGTAATTCCAACGTCAATCCTCATCTTTTGTTTTCTTGATCCTCATTTTTTTTGTCTTTTCCGAAATCGCCCCATATAACCAATCTTTTCTCTGTAACACCCTTAGTACTAGTGTCCACCACTTGCTTGGAGGTGGGGGTGAAATGATTAAAAAAATAAAAACTTTTCCTCCATCCGTTTAATCATTATTTACGTAGTTTTTCTCTGTCCATCTTGCTTTCAGTGTTTCTTGAGAGTGTCAAATTTTCCGAGCCATTTTTCCTCATTATGTGCTCTACAAATTTTAACATTTTCTGATGTTTGTTTCTTATCTTAAGAATGTTTTCTTTTTGTTTCCATTTTCTCTAAACCTTCGTCGGTGATAAGATATTTTAACCATTGTATTCTCAGCATTCTTCCGTAGAACATTCTGTGGCTTCGGATTTCTTCTGCATCTGCCAGGATATTCTCTCGCATCCCATGCAATATTGTAGGGATTATATTAAGTAACAGTACTATTTGTGTTTATAATGATATTTTCATGTTCCTTAATAGTTTGATTAGAATTTGGAAGGCATTTTTCGCTATCGCAATGCGCTTTTGTACCTGGGATGACGAGCAGAGTGACACAGGTAAAATATTTAAATTGTTGCATTTGTTTGATTTTGGTATATCTAATTTGTAATTTGCATGTTGGGCTGTTCCTTTTTCCTAACAACGAAGTCCTCTTTCAATTGATATTTAATCCTTTCTTCACACTTCCTTTCACTATCTTCTGTAGGAATACATCTAGTGTCCTTTCTGTGTCTCCGATCAGCACTGTGTCATCTGCCTATCTTATGTTGTTGAGACTGTGTCTTCCAACAATGAATCCTTGGTAAACTTCTAATTCTCACTGTATCGTCTCACTTTATAGTCCGGTGAGATGATGCGCCCTTGTCTTACACCCCTTTCTTGTTGTGTGTATTTACTGCACTAGTTTTCTATTCGTATGCAGGCTGTGTGCTATAGGTTCTAGATTATTCTAATATCCTTTCCAAATATGTTAAGGTTACCTAGAAATTCCATCGGTTCTTTGTGCCCTATATTCAATGCTCAAAAAGAATTTTAAAATATGCTATGACTTATTAAGATTAATATTTCTCTTTTAAAATATTTCAAACTCTGTAAGATCTAAGATTATTTTTTTACTGTTAATTTAATCTCTGCACGAAGAAAGTAGAGGCTTATTTGCGAATTTATTGTCAGGTAGAAGGAAGAAAGTGACAAAATTGGTATATTATGAGGAGGTGTAAGATAGATATCGTTTGACACTGGAATTTAAGAGAAGATGATAATTGTCAAGGCAGCATCATCTTGGAAGACTATTCCACAAAGGAACAGTTCCAGGAAAGAGGCTCTATTATTTACATTATTCGGACTATTCTCTTCATCTTTGTTGCCATGTTTTTTATTACAACGTTTCGGCCGCTGTACGCTCCGGCCTTCTTCAGATAGTTGGAATGTCAAACTCTTTATTTCGCTCACTGGGTTAGACTGTTCTAGTTCCATGTGCTATGTTTAAAGGATGCCAGTTTTCTCCAGTTAATTTCCCTCTCAAAGTTTCCCCCCGCCTTAAGTAGGTTTTGAACTTGATCTAACTAACGCCTTTATCCTCTGTGCCATGTGTCCTTGAGGACATCTGTGTATGAATTTCTGGGTATTATAAACCTAATGTCTTCAGCAACGATTTTTACCAGTTCTCATGTTGCAATTTTTGCTGTTATCATTGAAATTTTTGTTGTTGTCCGAATAATGTAAATATTGTAGATAACAACTCATCTCAGAAATATCGACATATACTGAAAGAGGCTCCGAATGAAACTTTCTCTTTATCGCAGGAACACGAAGGAAATGGTGAAGTAAATGAGCTGGTGGAACAAGGAAATATAATTCGTCTGAACATCTGCCATAAAATAACAAGAGTTCGGCAACATTTTGTCTGTAGTATAAGGGTTACGGCGGATAATGTTTCATCAGTTACGAGGCCGAGTTGCTGATTTGAACTCTTGGAGAGTGGGGACGGTCCAATACCAGCTTATGACAACAATACTCCATCGTTAATGACCACGTGGCCGAGGGCGTATAAAGTTCGATTTCTTAACATGAGACCCGAGTTCGAATCTCACTAGGGTAGATTTCTCAGGGAGGTGACCTTGATGTTATTGGTATGAAGGAAGTGACACCAGCGTGCGACACCTATTGAAACTGCCTGAAAACCATACCATGGGTTGGCCCAAGCCTTGTGAGGAAAGTTGGTAGAGGGAACCCATGGGAGCCGTTGGTGATTGTGCTAGCACGAATTTTCGAGTCATCATGACCGAGGGATTCACTCTCGCTTCCTTAAACCTCCCTCTTGTTCTTTCTCTCACTCTCGTTCTTTTCATCGTGAAGCATGGTGGGTCCAAGCTGTGAAGCGCTGAGCTGGTGGAACTAGGGAATATAACTTGTCAGAACACCTAACATAGAGTAACAAGAGGCTGGCAAAATTTCGTCAGTGGGATAACGGTTAAAGGAGGAACATATAGGTTCCTGATTATTCTAATATCCCTTCCAAATATAAGGTTACATAACAGTTCTAAGTTTTTTTAAAGAATTTATCAAACGTTTTACATAATATATAAACAATAATAAAGAAACTTCCTAAAAATAAACTCTGATTAACACTTAAGAACAGAACGTTGATAAGATATTTATTTTCAAAATTGGACGTGTTCACTTCTTAATTAAAAAGTGAATGTCCTATATATACAAATAATTTTATATGATTAACCGCGGAAAATAATTTCTTCGGATGCATTATTTTATAAAGTTTTGAGCAACAAAAAACATAAATACTCATCGACAATTTTTTTTTCCAATCATAACGAAGACGACCAAATAAAATTAATTTTAAAGAATTGTAGACAAATAACACGAATGTGTGTCTGAATATAAGTGCATATATATATATATAAAAACTCATTAAGTTATTCTGTTGTAACCAGATGCTCCCTAACTATAAACACGACAATACTTCATTAAAAATATAAATCGCCCGTAGATGATTGCAAAAAATTCATTTGATTTTGTCTACGCCAATCAATATTTCAGGACATTAATAAAAACCTTTATGCCAATGACATATTTTTAATAGTTGCTGTGTACTTTTGAAGAGTTCACCTCCAGAAAAATTCATAGCCAACAACCTATATTATTCCATAATGGTTATTTATGGACCAAAATATTAGGTTGGTGCAAAAATAATGTCGTTTTGACGTTCAACATAACGTCAAAAACGACATTATTTTTGCACCAACCTAATAAATAACCCAAACTTTAATATTGCAATTGATTCAGTAGAGACATATGAAATTGTTGGAATTTTGATACTGTGGCGACTAAGATTACATTAAGTACATTAAGGACATTAAGGACACCGGAAACTATATCGCTGACGGTGTTATTATCTTCCATAAAAGAAGTACAAGAAATATAGTCCAATTTAAAATGTAACTGATATTTTTTATTCAATGATCACGAACTAAATATTACGACTACCACCAACGATAAAATGATCCGATTTCTCGATAATACCATGGACTTGAATAATGGTTATAAAAAAACATATACCAAAGGCCTATATTACCATAGTTACGTCAGTAAATAAGCAAAGCATTATCATAAAATTCTATATAATTTACATAAATCAATCCAAGTTAGATTATCTACCAGCTCCAGAAATAAAGAAACATTTCGTAATAATAAAATTAAATATATCAAAGGTTTAGAACTAAGCAACTATAAAGTAAATTTAGAGTATTTAGGAGAAAAATACAAAGAAGGTAAAAATAAACAGAAACACTGTAAGTGTAACATCATATGGTTTAATCCAACTTTTAATCGTAATGTTCAAAGAAATGTTGATGTTGTTGGTTGCGCTGGCCTAGGTGCGAGCACCAATCCCTCTCCCTGGTGCAATTAGTATAATTTTACTCAGTTGCAACTGAGTCATTTGACAGAGTTGCCCCTGAGCGGACTATGCTCAACGACAGAGACGAAAGTGAGAGATGATAAGTAATGTTAGAAACTACTCAAAAGTGTAATTTACACACTAAGAGATCAATATCTGTATTATATATCATCTACTTTTGGGCCATACCACTTTTCAGGTTTAACGAATTTGCAAATTGATTTTTAAACAAAAGTATATTTAATTAATTAACTGCCCTTCATTAGTGCACTTTTATTCGAGGATTGTTATGATTTTCAGATCAAAAATAGTTTTTAGGGATATTGTCTTACAAAAAGTCTTTGAAATTTTTATTTTGCTTGGGCGTCAAAAAGTTGGCATCTATTTGTAAAACTTTACTTAAATTTAAAAAACAATTCATGATTGAAATGTTCATTTAAAGTTTTTTGTTTCAATGAATTCAAATAGTGAATATATCTTACTTTGCGAACAGAGAGAATGCGGCCGAAGCCTGCTAGTATTTTATAATACTGGCAAATTTTTATTTTGTTTGGGCGTCAAACTTTGGCATCTATTTGTAAAACTTTACTTAAATGTAAAAGCCAATTCATGATTGAAATGGTCATTTCCAATTTTTGTTTCAAAGATTTCAAATGGTGAATATATCTTACTTTACCAACAGAGAGCAAGCGGACGAAGCCTGCTAGTATTTTATAATATTGGGAAATTTTTATTTTGTTTCAGCGTCAAAAAGTTGACATCTATTTGTAAAACTTTACTTACATGTAAAAGCTAATTTATGATTGAAATGTTCATGTAAAATTTTTGTTTCAAAGATTTCAAATAGTGAAGATATCTTACTTTGCGAACAGAGAGAAAGCGGCCGAAGCCTGCTAGTATTTTATAATACTGGCAAATTTTTATTTTGTTCGAGCGTCAAAAAGTTGGCGTCAAACTTTGGCATCTATTTGTAAAACTTTACTTAAATGTAAAAGCCAATTCATGATTGAAATGTTCATTTAAAGTTTTTTGTTTCAAATATTTCAAATAGTGAATATATCTTACTTTGCTAACAGAGAGCAAGCGGCCGAAGACTGCTAGGATTTTATAAAATTGAGATTAAACCAGGTTTTTACTTGTCCGACTAATTTTGGAGCCACTCTGGTTCCAGCTCCAAGACGTAAATTGCTGTTTGTTCCTCTCAGTGATCCTTTTCATGAAAAAAGGTGCCATTCCAGATTATCCTCTTCTTCAACTGATTTATGATTCATATTTATTTAAAATGCTAAATATGTTATCAATATTTCATTTTCCTCAGTATTATTTGTAGTTTCGGTAAACAATCTAAGTATCTGTGTTTTCGTCAGATTGTATGTTCCTTTATTTTCCGTGTATAGTTTTTGGTGCTTGTTGTGAACACTAGTAATGACGACGTTATGCCTCCATTCGTATTCCCACAGGGGTTCACTCATCCCGGGAGCCTAGACCAAATCCCTCGAGGATATAGGGCTACACTGTATCAAGAGAGTGGTTTCTATGTATGGCAACATGACACTGCAACATGCCACAAAAGTAGAAGAATCAAGGCATGGATAATTGACAATTTCTGCGATCACGTCAACTCTTGCATCTGTCAAGCTAACTCCCCACGTTGTAAACTCGTTGATTATTATACGTGGGGAGCAATTGAGTGATAGAGCAACAAAATATCTTGTAACACCAAACATAAACTGAAAGCTAGGATTATGGCATCATTCAAGAATTTAAAGAAAAGAGACCATCCAGGAGAGATGCTGGAGATTCTGAGGTCATCCGGAAGCCCTGGTTAAAGCCGAGGTCGATTTTATTGAATAAATTTGCTCTTTAGTATTTCAAGATATTTTGAGTAATTTGGTAAATATATATCTTAAAATGAGATGTCAGTGTAAATTATAACCTTCGCGTAATTTAGACAATTTATCCATCGCATATTATATATATATATATATATATATATATATATATATATATATATATATATATATATATATATATATATATATATATATATATATATATATATATATATATATATATATATATATATATATATACTGTAATCGGTCCTAAAAATGTGTGGATGGTACTGGACAAAACCTTTACGACTATAATCAAATCATCTGCTGGTGTTTGGCTCTCGGTTCCTACGAACTGAAACTCTTGAAGGGATATATATATATATATATATATATATATATATATATATATATAATTTAAGATTTGTGAAGACGATATATTCATATAGTGCTCAATATTATAAAATAGACCAATGATATTATTATTATTATTATTATTATTATATGTCTTTATTATTATAAAACTCTGTGAACTTAGTATGCTTGCGTGTTTGCCAGAAGTCATATATAGAGAGTGGTTAAAAGAAGGATGCAAATTTATTGTCGTGTAGAAAGTGAGAGAGAAGAAGATGGTGTTATTGATTCAGATGGCGACCTAAGTTGACATCCGGATTGTAGAAATAAATTATTACATTTATGTTCCCTTTTCAATACTTTCTCTCTCATTCCTCCTCTCTCTTTCACCACTCTTCTTACAATACTCCCTCTTTCGACTGTTCTCTTTCTACCTTCTCTTTCCACCCCTCCCTCTCTCCACCTCTCTCTTTCTACCTTATCTTTCTACCTTTCTTTTTCCACCTTTCTCTTTCCAACTCTCTCTCTTTCCATTTCTCTGTTTCTGCATCTTGCTCTTTCCAGTTTTCTCTTTCCACCTCCATCTATTTACATATCTTTCTTTCCACCTCACTCCCCTCCCACATATCTCACTTTCAACCTCCCTCTTTCCCCCTTCCACTTTTTACCTCTCTCCTTCCACCTCCCTCTTTCCACATCTTTCTTTCCACCTCTCTCTTTCTACCCCTCTCTTTCTACCTCTTTCTTTCCACCTCTCTCTTTCCACCACCCTCTTTCCACCTCTCTCTTTCCACCTCGCCCTTTCCACCTCCCTTTTTCCACCTCTTTCTTTACACATCTTTCTTTCCACCTCCCTCTTTCCACCTCTTTCTTTCTACCTCTCTCTTTCCACCTCTCTCTTTCCACCTCTTTCTTTCCCCCTCTCTCTTTCCACCACCCTTTTTCCACCTCTCTCTTTCCACCCCCCTCTTTCCATCTCACTCTTTCCTCTTTCTCTTTCCACCTCCATCTTTCCACATCTTTCTTTCCAACTCTCTCTTTCCTCCTCTCTCTTTCCATCTCCCTCTTTCCACCACTCTCTTTCCCCTCTCTCTTTCCACCTCCATCTTTCCACATCTTTCTTTCCAACTCTTTCTTTCCACCTCTCTCTTTTTATCTCCCTCTTTCCACCCCTCTCTTTCCCCTCACTCTTTCCACCTCCATCTTTCCACATCTTTCTTTCCACCTCTCTCTTTCCACCTCTTTCTTTCCACATCTCTCTTTCCACCACCCTTTTTCCACCTCTCTTTCCACCTCCCTCTTTCCATCTCACTCTTATCCTTTCTCTTTCCACCTCCATCTTTCCACATCTTTCTTTCCACCTCTCTCTTTCCATCTCACTCTTTGCCCTCTCTCTTAACACCTCTCTCTTTCCACCTCCCTCTTTCCACCTCTTTCTTTCCCCTCTCTCTTTCCACCTCCCTCTTTCCACATCTTTCTTTCCACCTCTCTCTTTCCACCTCCCTCTTTCCACCTCTCTCTTTCCACCTCTGAGATTTCGTGCGTGCTTATTTATATTTAAACTTTCTTTAAACAAACAATATTTTAAATATTTAAAATTATTTTTTGCTATATTTAAAAATATTTTCTAGTGAATATGTTTGTAAAATATTTTTGGCCTATATAGAAATATATTTTACTTTATTGTGATTTGAAAATTATCTTAAGTGAATAAAATTTAAAAATACGGATTTTTTTTATGCAGTGAGTATATTTTATTTCAACCTTTTTTTCAAACAGACACTATTTCGATGTTGAAGTCAACTTCAGTATTTTATAACCTGAACTCTCATATATATATATATATATATATATATATATATATATATATATAAAAAGAGAATTACTTTAATCTAATTTTCCACGACTCCAAAGTTTCGTGGAATATGTCCACTTTTCTATAAACTCCAGGAATAAAAACAATTCCAAAGTGGAAAACCTCTGCAGATTATCGATTATCTCAATTTATTATTGTTATATTTTCTTTTTAAAATGAAACCTACACGATTTAAGTATTCCTTCAAAAAATATTTCTTCAAAAAATATTCCTCATCAAATTTAGACGAATAAAAAATCAAATTTGAATGTCAACACTGTCACTTGATAGGAAGCCAGAAGTGTTGAAACAAAATGGCTTTTTGCAGTGATTTTATAATATATGCCTGTTCCAATTTTCGAATAAATAATTATATCTGCTCTACTCTGTATTGAGCACTCTTTTAAGAATAGTATTTGTTGTTTGATGGAATTTATTCCGTATACACCAAACCTATACTTGTATATATATATATATATATATATATATATATATATATATATATATATATATATATATATGTGTGTGTGTGTGTGTGTGTGTGTGTTTTTGCGTGTGTGTGTGTGTGTGTATATATACTTATATATATATTTTAAGATTTGTGAAGCAGATATTTTCATATAGTGCTTAATATTATAAAAATATTGCAATGATGTTGTTATTATTATTATTATTATTATTATTATTATTATTATTATTATATGTCTATATTAATATAAAATTCTGTGAATTTGTATGATTGTATGTTTGCCAGAAGTCATATATAGAGAGTGCTTGAAAGAAAGATGTAAATTTATTATCGTGTAGGATATGGGGAGAGAAGGAATTTGTGTATGATCGTTTCAGATGGTGACCTAATTTAACATTTGGATTGTGGACATAAATGCTTAAATTTATGTCCGCTTTTCACCTCTCTTTCTCTTTCTTCCCCACCCTGTGATTTCGTGCATTTTATTTATTACTATTATATTCCAAAAAGTATGAAACCTATACAACAACAACAAATTTCGTCAATGAAATGGCCACCACGAAAATAGGTATTATTGATTTCGAAAATGAGTAAATATTGTAACGAAAGTCAATGCAAGAAAATTCAAAAATAAATTTAAAACACAATAAAAAATTACATAGATTCAGTAAATAAATCAATCAAAATATTTATTTAAGCAGATAAGTCAAGAAGTATCTATATAATGGAACCTACCAAATATAACAAAATAATCCAAAAAGTGGTACATAAGTTTTAGCAAATCAAAAAAAAGGATCAGAAAATAATATAAATAATAAAGAAACCTTAGCAACAAAATGCAAATTATGGTATTAAGCAATTAATGAAAATGGAATCTTTTATTGAATTAAAAGAACATAGGGATAATTACCCAAATAAATCTACATGTAGATTAAATCCATCAACAAGCACTATAGGAAAAATAAGTGAACAAAATGTTTATGTTCGAAATTTTAAAAAAATATTAAATATAAATCAATGGAAAAAATACAAAATAAACGTTTAATTGATTCAAGTATATTACAATCAAAAGCAATTGCTCTTTTATAAAATATACATATAAAATACTCTTTATCCATACATTACGATATTTATTAAATAAAGATTAATGTAGCAATACATACATACAAATTCAAGGCGAAGAATTAAATATAATCAATCATTGTATAAAATAATTATTATAATAAATGAATAGAATATGGATAAAAGAAAATAATAGAAATAATAGAGATCTTTGACGTAACAATAGGCAGTTATGATGTCACGTTTTTAGATCTTATAATAAAAAAGGATAGAGTTTTATATAGAGATGATGGTTTAATAATTTGAAGAAATTATAATGGTAGAAAAATAGAAAATTTTAGAAACAAATAATAGAAATATTTAATAAATTAGTATTTACAATAGTTATAAGATATAACGTAAAAATAGTAAATCTTCACGATGTAACTTTTAATTTAATGAACAATGTATACAAACCATATAGGAAAGACAATGATAATCCTATATATATATATATATATATATATATATATATATATATATATATATATATATATATATGTAAACAAAATTCAAGTTCGCCAGCTAATGTATGTAAACATATACGAAAGTCTATTAATAAAAGAATTGCAACTCAAGCAATATTCACATATTTAATGAATATAAAAATATATTTCTCAGCATTAAGAAAAAGTGGTTATTCGAATAAATTAGAATACATAACTAACAATAATAAATAAAAAAAATTAAAGAAAACGGAATAGAATTTGGTTTAATCCATATTATAATAATATAATAAAAACAAAAATAGGAAAATGTTTTTAAATTAATTGAAAAACGGAACCCTAAAAAAATTAAACTCTCAAATATCATTAATAGAAATATAATTAAAATCAGTTATATTTGTATCAATAACACGGCGAAAATTATAAATACATATAATAAAATATATTAAACAAAAATAATAGCAACTAGGAAAATACAAACACGAAAATGGCAACAATAATTGTAATTAACGAAATAAAAACAATTGATCTCTTAATAACAAATATTTCACTAATAATAAAATACATAAATCAACTGCATAAAATAATATTTGCATAGAAAAAAATTAATTGAAACATCTTTTAATGAAAGTTTTAATAATCATAAAATGTCATTTAAAAACAGGCAGATGCGCAAAATAATACATTATCAAAATATATATGGAACCACAGAAAATATATATATCGACTAAAATTAAATGGGAAATCATTAAAAAAAAACAATGCATATAGTATTAATAACAGAAAATATGGACTGTATTTAGAAGAAAGATTTTATATAATAAATTTCAATAATCGAATTAAATTATTAAACAAGAAATCTGAATGAGTAAATGCAGATATTTTAATAGATATTTACTTGCAACTTACCTATCAATATAACAAATAAAACAGAAAAATAAAACAATATAAAGTACATAATGAGATAACATAATATGATACACAACAGTACAATATACATATATATATATATATATATATATATATATATATATATATATATATATATATAAAACAATCAAGATGTATATCTAAGCATATGTAATGATGACAAATATGTCTTAGAAATGATACAGTTGAAAAATATGGAGTTGAAATACAATTACGCTAATGAATTACAAAATATGCAACTATAAATAATTACGTTTATGCACGCGTCTATAATGGAGTTAAAAACCACGAAAATTAGAAATTTGGAGAGAAACAAGCGGATATTCATTACAATTAGAGATATGTAATATATGGATACATCCTTGAAACTTTGGCATATTACATAGTTACAGTGAAGTAATTGTCTTGTACATATATAATTGTCTTGTACATATATATCCTCACGGCAAGTGTTTAAACTCCATGTCCAAAGGAAAATGAAAACAAAATAAGTAAAAGACTAAACGTAAAGTGCTCAATACACTAAGTAGAGCAAAAACTAAAATGACCATAAGGAGTCAGGTAAACCTACCTAGGTTTCACATGAACCAATCATCAGCTAAAAAGGAAAATATGGAACAATATTTATTGATAAAACCAAATAAAACCGTGACCGTGTGCAAAAAAAAAATAAAATAAAATAAAATATTAATCCAGCAATCTGAAATTTTGAGTAGGTGCTGACATAAGAAAAGCTGGTTATTAGAGTAACATATTGCAGGTGTTTTTTTTTGTTTTTTTTTTTTTTGTCAAGTGGTCATGATTTTATTTGGTTTCATCAATAAATATGTTTCCATTATTTGCCTTATCCAGTTTTACCTAGAAGATCCGTTTAGGTTAAACCTAAGTAGGCTTGCCTGAATCTTCAGAATTTTTTTATATATATATATATATATATATATATATATATATATATGTGACGCCACTTGGTCCAGGGTCGAATCCTTTGGTTTACGGCGCCAACTGTGACGTCGCTCCTCCTGGTCGCTCTTCGCTGTTCCAAGTGTGACGTTCCAACCCCTTGGTTAGATGATTACCAGCCTCGCCTTTCCCAACTCGCTTCCAACACCTGGTTTATAGAGGTATATATACTGATCTCCGGTCTGCCTACCCACGTTGTGATTAGATCTTATATATTACCCGGGATCAAACATGGATTAAGCCGTATGCAAGTTGAGTTCGACGGGGTTGGCAAAACACAAGTAAAAGAAAAAAAACTCGCGAGGCCAAAATTACTGATAAAAAAAAAAGTAACAACCTTTTTATATCTAATGTTCGTTACATAAAATTGTTCTTACTTCCCGACCCGCTTTGTGGACTGTGGCACCAAGCTTCTATCACACACAACAAAAGACTTCATATTGCCTATATCTAGAATTTTGTATGTCGGGTGTGGTTTGGTTTCAACACTGGGCGCTAATCTCTACCAGTCGTTCACGGCTGATTCTTCTCTTCATATTGAGTTGGACGAGCTTATTCGCTTCGGCTTGAGTTGGACATATTTATTTAAACATTTGGGTTGGACGAATTCCAACCCTCAAATTTGCCTGGTTTCAACTTCTTCTAATACTTAACTATAAACAACTTATTTTCTTCCGTCCTTAACTCTTCTCGCCAAGGTCCGAAATCTTCTCTCTGCCGTCTGAGGTGATCTCTTCTCTCTGCCTTCCGGGGCTGAATCATGTCGATTGGG